TAAAAAAATATAGTTTTACTGAGAGTAGCAAGACAGATTATGATGACAAGTTTCACACAATACAGTATGATGTTCCATGATGAGCATATTTTTTTAACGAGGACTACAAGAGAAGCCGTGACCTCTACATTCTTTAGTCACTGCTGGGACATCTGATACAAGCTTCATAAGTATAAGCTCAAGATTTTACTATATAGAAGAAATCAATTGAATGACATTATATTTAAGCTGCCTTCCCTTTAAAAGTACAGTACTTGTATATACAATATAACAAACATTTAAGGTGCTTAGTAAAAACAACAAAAGATAAATTAATGCTTACATGGCCCAACAACCATGGTAAGTAAGACAGGTAAGTATTGTTTAGTCAGCATTCCTGCAAATTGTCGACACTAGTATATTTTCTGGGTTCCAGTTACAAGAATCACTATATGAATTGCATACTATCTGTATAACTTCTAAACACAAGTAACAGGATCTTTAATAATTTTCTTGTTCAGTTAGTTCCTCTGTGTACATTCATGTGTCAGCACACCAGGACTACCTTTGTTGATTTACAGGGTAGACTCCAAGCTCTGATTGAAGATGTCTTGTCATCATTCTACTTAGTACATATGCTGTGTTCCAAATGGTTACTTTGATCAGTGAGCTTAATCTAGCAGTCATTTCCCAAGAGGACTGTACTAAAGTCTTAAACTTTTTATTATGTTGGTGACCTTGACACCACTTAAATATCCTCTATCTAGGCTAGGAGACATGTCTCCTCATTAACAGACTAGATATGTACTCGATAATTTTCCCCTTTATCAGTCACTACCATCCACCCCTATGCATCTCTGGTGTCAGCAGAGCAGGTTATGCAGCCCAACCTTATTTTAGGAGAAATCAATAGACTGACATTCACGGGGATGGGGGGTGTCTGCACCTGTTTTAAGCTTTTTCTTCTCTGGAGTCTCCCATTACTTAAGTAGAAATCTTTTAACATTGACTTGAGCCATAGACAGCCTTTATGTTCTTGATTTTTCAAATTCAGCTGTCATATTCCACCCTAAGGAACCACTCTTGTCCTACAACATGATTCCTCTAAGTGGATGTGATCCCACAGAAATTTTGAAGTTCCCATAGCCTTCCTACAAAGGGCGCTCTCTTTTGGGAGACATCTCTCGGAGCCAGTATCACAAGGATCATACTGAGGAGGCTACAGGCCTGTAATCTGCCTGTGATTTACATGTGACTGGTTCCTAGGGTTCTTCTTCCCCACTAGCCTGACCTGCGGAAAGGATTTCTTGTTAAGTGCCTGGTCAACCAACTCGCAACCTGCAGGCCCACATATCCATCACAACCCAGTTGATCTGGCACTAGTACAAAAAAAGCCCTCCAGCTTCTTGTACTGGGAATATTTCTCACATCTGCTGGTAATATAATGAGTCTTGGGCCATAGATGTTGATAGTGTTTTCTAAATATATCCATGGTCTCCCTGCTTTTCACTGGGTTTAATCCATATGTCCTTTCATATCTTCCACTATGAGAGCCTTCTGTGATCAATTCAGTTATATAAAGTGCCTATCACAGGTTGAAAATTTCTTGTCTCAGTGCTCTGCTTTTAGACTACCCTACCTAAGAGCTTCAACTGCATTTACCATGATTTTACATGCTTGTGGTCGAATTCCTATAGCAGTGTATGAAACCCAATTCAGAATATACCATCTGGAAAAATGAAAAATGGTACTTTCTTTGCAGGGTTCCAAAAACCATAATATTGGACACTTCACCTTGTCAACTGTTCCTCACCAGGGTGTTCCAAATGGAGCTTGTGGCCTACACCCTGTGTCAAAAAAAAGTGCCCAGGTATGCACGAATGCAAGAAAATGTAAATAAAAAGGGATCAAACTGGGCAAAAAACTGATCCAAGATTCTAAATGATGTTACAGAAGTTATTAAAACAGATTGTAATTTCTACAATGGTTCATGGAATCCTCCACAGAAAGCTTTATATTCATCAAAATGTTATAAAGGTTGCCACGTTCCTTATTTATGTTACTGTTACAATTATAAAATTCACCGAGACTATAATTGACCTATAAAGACATTCATCTATATGTACAAAATTAAAAGTATATGTACAGTAATTAACTTTTAAAATTCATTAACACACATCAGCACTCTTAAAATTGGGATGTCTCATTACTTTCATAAGTTATAAATATATAAAAAAAATTGTAATTCTGAGATGGCATGATGAGAAACCTGCCTGTACATTTATTGTATAGAAACAATGTTAGTGTTACTGAGAGAATTATCATCGCATTTATGGGGAAGTGCTGAATCTGTAGGGTTGTACACTGCCTGGGGAATGGCAGGAAATCAGGCTTGATTCAAGGAAGAGGGGCAGCTCCAATACTTGCAACAAAAGCCCTTCACCAGCACCATATTGGGCAAGAGAAAATCTATGCCATTTGTGCTCCCCTTAAATGCTTCTAGGTCTCTCGTGCTAACAAA